TCACACACACGCACACAGACCTGTAAATGCCTGTGCGAGCATACCCATGTACGTGCACATGCAAGTACGGGTACATCGTTCCAGCAACATCAGTTTGTGTTGGGCCGTCTCAGAGACATGGAGTTCTTTCCGAGGGCGCTGCCATCAGAGCTCAATCACCACCTGGAGCCAGGACCGGGACTGAAGGATGTATTGCCATGACGTCTTTGTAGGCAACCCTGGTATCTCCTGAAACAAACTACTTTGTAGGGTTTTGGATACTGTTCTGAAGTAAATTACGATTTGATGTACGGTTTCAGCTTACAACTATGGATGCGATTCCGGTGTACAGCTTGCAACTATGGATGCGATCCCGATGTACAACTACAACTTCATCTACAGTTTCAGGGTACAACATTCAACTACTCTCGATGTATAGGCACGTCGTACGATCTTGTGCGGGCTCAGCTTATATCGTACCTGGACTCGTACTTTTCATCTGCAGAAGTACGATTCCAGGTTTCAGGTGCGATCTCAAAATACGATAGCCTGTACGATTCGCAGCACAAGTACGATTCCAGATGCGAATGCGGCTCGGAGTCGAAACCGCAGTTTCAAATCGTACTGGAACCTGCACATGCACCTCGCAAACGCACTTGGGTCGTAGTTTGAACATGGGTCGTAGTTTGAAGTCGGACTGGAACCTGTACACGTGCTTTGCAAATGTATTTGGAATCATGTTCTATTCGCAACAATATATAATCCCGGATTTACAATTAAAGCCTTGCCTGCGCACGGATTCATGAGTGTCTCGAAAACGGCAAGCCACGACCGTCAGTTACCTGCTGCATGGCGATAGTTGCAAAGTCCTTGTCGGGGTCAACTGCCCACGGATCCGGCCTCTTGGGGCATCATGCTGAAGAGGTATCATGCTCGTTTTGTCGTCGTGGGAGCGTACCAATTCTGCAAACATTGTTTGTAGAATTGAGACATGCTTGGCCAAGGGGGGGGGTGCCTCGAGAGAGGGAGAGAGGGAGCGTGAAAAAGGTCCAACTGTGCGGAGCAAGCCAAGCATGACAGCCGGAACATGCACAGGTGCCAACATAGGCAGGCCCGTTAGGAGGCCTGTCGTGCTCTGCATAGCAGGCAAGCAAGAGCAGTCGAGCAGCAGAGCAGCCGGATGCTCACTGCAAGCGCTACATCTCCACTTGCCCAAGGCAGTAAACCCCGTCAAACCGGCAGAATGAAAGAGAAAAGGAAAATGAAAGAGCCCAGGTTAAAGAAAGGTAGTGAGAGTGTGTCGGCATGTGAGTCTTTGTATGGGCACCGATCTTCCCATGCAATGCAGGAAAGCTGTGGTAGCTTCGAGGTGACGCAAGCTGAACGCGGTTCTATGCGACATCCTGTCGAATCGCTGCGATGCGCAATCCGCTTCCGCAAGCTTCACCTTTGCAGTGAAATGCCTACTAGTAGATGGTCTGGGCTAAAGGTGCCCCAAAGTCAGTGTGCAGTGCGAAAAACGGGCCGTTCAGCAGCATTTGGCAAAGTAGGCTAGAAGAGCATCTCCGAAAGGCTCTGTTGGCACACTTCGCTTTGGATCTTCAGCCTTGGCTTTAGAGGAGCAGGCTGTAGATGGACTGCGGGCAAAGGAACCGCGTGGCTACCTCGAGTTCATTGCAGACGTTCTGTCTTTTCCGTGGTCGACTCGAAGGGATGCGGGATGCGTTCGGGTTCAGGTAAGCATGGCGCACCCTGGCGGCTTCGAGTGCCTAGCTTGGCTTTGCCCGCCTGCCAAGTGCAAAGTGTATCTATGTGAATACGGTCAGGGTTGATGGCGGCGGCAAGCGCCTCCCTTCTGCCCAGGACTTGCTACATGAATGGAGGCGCGCTTGATCTATTGCTTTCAATTTTTTGCTTCACGAAGGACTTGGACGTCACAGTGCTGGCGTTTGCACAGTGGCTTTCCGAGCCACGGGCTGCAGCAAGCGATCCAGTGTGCTAAACAAGAAGACCAGCTTTTGCACGCCACATCTACGAGTGAGTTCAGGAGATGAAGTTGCGCAGCAACTCTTCCCTTCAGCAGATGCTTTTGCCTGAGAACCGGACTTCAATTTGTTGTTGCTTCACCTTAGTTGTGCTTTTTCCGAGGCTGGCAGAAATGGGCATCATCCGGAATGGTACCGCCCTCGGCATGCCGTCGTTTCAAGCGCACTGTCGTGCTTCCCCGACTGCTCTGCAGTGCTGACAATGGCAGGCATTACGTCCAACAACACGGACTTGACAGAGTTCAAAAGGAACACTGCTACCGTGCAAGCCCTAACAGTATGCAGTATGCACCATGGTGTCCTGCCGCACTCAACTCTCGGCCTGCCAAGACTCTGCCGGACACACGCCTCCTTTGTTGATTTCTGCCGTGAACACATTCAGAAAGGTCCAGCAGCAGATGCAGTCACAGATCTCTGATTTACGGGACAAGCTCACCGACGCGTGTGCGTTTAGCTTCCGGGCAGACCCATTGCAGTCTAAACTGATGTGGATTGTTTTCTGCAGAGTCAGCTCTGCAACTTGGCAGAAGACCAGGTACACAGAGATCGCCAACATGAAGAAAACGAAAAGCCAGTTTGAGCAAGAGGTGGCATAAACAGAAGCTAGCGAAATTTCTTGTCTGGTCTGGAGTTTGCACAAGGTCCATGCAGAGAGCCAGTCTCTGTCGGAGCAGTTGCAGTGACTGCGACATGCTTACATTAGCAGTTGCTCCTAGCCAAGCCGATCGTTCGCAAAAAGGGCCTAAGCCAGCTGTTGGCTTTGGGTCTGTTGATGTCTATTGCCTTGCGCCAGGTTCAAGACACTGGAACTGGAAACCCTCAAAAAGGCTGCGAGCTTACATTGCACAGCTGTTAGGAGAAGTACTGCCAGACTGTTGCGACATGGGGAGGCGTATGCTCACACGCATCAGCAGCTCCAGCAGCAGATTATCCAGTTGCAAACAGAGGTGCATACAAAGTTGCAAATGGGGCTGCTCGCACCGCCGGATTCAGGTTCAGTCCGCTCATTCGCTGCGAGGTGAATGAGCTCAGGACGAAGGGGGATGATGTGAACAGGCCGATGTCCGACGATCCCTGTGTCAAATCTGTCCGTGGTACGTGCAACGAAGCCGTGAGTCCCTGCAGGCAGCAGCATCTCACCTTCGAGCAAAGTGTGAACAAGGTCTCCGAGGTCTGGAATCTGGAACCTGGATGTTCTTCACTAGCCGCGCTATCCAGACGTTTCATGCTTGCCTTCATCTTTCATCTCCGATATCTTGAGCAGTCAAATCAATGCAAGAGCCATGCCGGATGAAGATATGAATTGAGATTTGTGGAACTTGAGGGACGATGGCTGCGCATTCTGCATCCATCTTGCCAGTGTTATGTTGACAGTGTATCTTATCTTACGAATGTTCTGTCGATTGTGGTATTTGTTGTTTTCTGTTTTGTTGTGCTTTCAAACGGCCGATTATTCGTGCAGCGAGAGTCCGGCTGCAGTCCCTTTCGTAGCTTTGTATGTCAGGTGGAAATGGCAGCACAGTATACGAACAACGAGATGAAGAGGAGCCGCAGTCCATGCCGACACACATTTCACTTTCAATCCAACTCGTGTTTTGTTCAGGCTCCGCAGTGAGCACGATCAAGCCATAGCCAGTCTCGCTGAGAACATGAACAGGCACGACGGACGACTCGCTGCTTTTCAGAAGCGTTATGTCCAAACCCTCTCTCCTCACGGGCTTGCAGGTGGAACGAGGCTGTGAGAGACCTCTCAAAGGAATTTCATGACTTCCAAAAGGTGCCTCGGCTCTGCCAGAGTTGATCAGAGTTGTCTTGCTCTGCTTTGCTTTCATACTGTGCAGGATCCAAGTAGTGGAGGTCGCTTGTACATTCGGATCGCATCAGATTTTCGTCTCTGCGCCGCTTTCTCGCTGTGCTCCGCCAGGAGCGTCAGGCCGCAAGCATGATCTCAGAAACGAGTGCCAGAACTGCCACCAATGTACTCCCCGTTTATCATTGGTGTCATTCGGTTGGCCATGCATCTTCAGCTTCAGAAAACCTCCCTTTTTGCAGGAATCGCCGGATCCCATTCAATGGACTTGCAGCTTGCGACGTTTTCAATTTTCTGATAATGCTTCGATTTTCGGCAATCGTCGTGCTTGTGTGGCATTTGAAACTACCTGTACTCATGCACAGGCTGGGTCTTTACCTTAATGTCCCATGTGTTCGGAGGCGGCGCCCGTAATGGGGGAGGGGGGGGATGAGAACCTCCACCAGACCTCGCACACCCAAAAGCCCTAAACCCTGGGGCTGATGCAAAACGTGCGTTTCGCTCGAGTTTTGGCAACGCGACCATGGCATATGAACAAACAAGGTGTCCCAACGCACGTCCCCTTACGGCCACCGTCACCATGCTTGTGTTCTGCTCCGCACAGCTTCGGTCGTCCGAGGTCATGAACGTGAATCACCAGAGGCTGCAAAGCTCTGTTTGGGAGGTGCAGGCCGTGACCCAAGAGATGCTCCGCTTGGAGACTGAGACAGCATGAGACACCCCTGATGCCAGGGCAAGATGGGCCAGGGCCCCGTGCAAAGTCAGGCCCAGGCTCGGCCTGGTAGGTGAGAGCCGGAGTCCGAAGCTATGCGAAGCTCTCGAATGACTTTACTTTAATGTTAATGAAAGTTAATGATTTGCCCTGGTCCCTGGAAGCTGCGGGCCATGTACAGTATCGAGATTGGCGAGGCGGAGTCACTGGGAGGCCCCAGAGCTTCGCGACGGAGCCGCGAGCTGCAAAGGGCTTGCGTCTGCCGGCCCCAGCCAAGTTAAGTGTCGCCGAGAAGTAGAAAACGCGTGAGAGGGGCCGATCAGAGAGGTGAGAGTCAAGGTGCTCGAGCTTGCAGCATGGGAAGCACTGGCGGACGGCAGGCATTTTAGGTTCAAGGCTCAGTACATTGCGCATCAAGACGCAGCCTACAAGGCGGTAAGTAGTCTGTTCGGCCATGAAGTCGCAGCCTGAGCACCTTGTTTCGTGCCTGTCACACCCGGTGTTGCTGAGCATGTAGACTCAATGTAGACAAGTCGAAAAGTGTGATAAGCACTCAGTACTGCTGAATCATTGTTCATTCTATTTGCAAATCGCCACGAACTTCTTTCGGGTTTCGCTCAGATGCAGGCTTCGACTCAAATACATAGTAGTGTTAAATCTGAGGCGCAGTTGCAAGCAGTTGCAGTGCATATTGCCTCCCCTGTCGTCTTTCGCAGGGAGTGAAGACCTCCCATGCATTTATGTAGCCCTGGGCAACTCCAGGCCCGGCACATCTTTTGATCTTCTTGGCTCACTGAGGGCCACGCCAAGAACCTTTGCCAACCGGGAGCTGCTCCCGTCGCCTAGAGCACCTTGACGGGAAAAAAGAGCTGCACTTGTCAGCGACATGGCCCAGTCATGGCGCCCGTTTTTCGACGCTGTGAGGTTGGACAATCATCCGGTGCGGTCATGCGCCCTGCCATGACCACAGCTTTGCGGAGAACCGCCGCCATTGGATTTCTTGTCTCTTGGCCGAAGACGAGTAGCATCTACAAAGGTTCCTCCTAGGCATGCCCCGGCTTAATTAATCGCACGTCGCCACAATGTCAAGCCTCAGGAAGAGAAACTTCACATGCAGGCAGAGCCTTGGGACTGACTAGCGGAAGCACCGCAATTCTGAAAGCCTTGCGCAAGCGGCTGGACTGCATGCCTTTCAACGTGGTGCTGAGGACACAGATCGACCGTGCACTAGGGAACTTCTTTACAGAGGTGTGAGTGCAGATGGCCAGGGTCGCACGGAGCTTAAGCACACCTGCGTGCATGTAGGGCCACTCGATAGCACCATGTGCAACCTCACACCCGCTTTCCTTCCAGGCAAGGAGTATCTGCGCAGACGTGCGGGATATGGCATTGCGGAGAGGTATGGGCAGCCACAGACGGAAGCCCAAGTAATGAGTTTGAGCGTTTTGGCATGCACCCCAAGCAGCTGCCAGAGGGCTGTACTTTGCACCGCGGTTGGCACGCACCTGAGACTCAGGCTTGAGGCTCAATCCTGGAGAACTTCGTCCTCCTTCATTCGGGAAGAAGCCAATCATCGCGAATACGTCCCTTGGAATGCATGTTGCCTAGGGGCCCAGATATGCCCAAGCTTGAGCGGGCACATCTCAGTAAGGTTCTATCGTACGCGTGGAGCCGGCGGCTTCAAAGAAGCTACTGCTGACAGCTGATGTGTAATGGGGCGGCAGGACACTTCAGAGGTATGGGTAATTGGCCTAGTAGCTCAAATCTTCAGATGAGGCCGACATGAGGGAAGCGTCTCCTCTCAAGATTCAAACTTACATAAAGGAAAAGCTGGGGCTCTTTTCTTGGTGCCCAGGCCTAGAGCTTCCCTCCTAGGCTTCCTCGTTAGCAGTGGCATGTTCCGGAGACGGCCTGTGCTTGCCACTAGCGCTGCCAACCTGGCTTTTTGGTTTCTGCGTCGCCGAAGGCAGCGCGCAGGATTCCTAGGTCTGGTCTTTTCCAAGGTCCCTTGGGCAAAGCTCACTTCCGTCCGAAGCCGATGCGACACTTTGCCTGAGCAATTTGAAAACGAAAGGTTTTGACAGAAGTGCCGACAGATGCAAACGAAAGTTACAGTAGCAGCGCTGCAGAGCCCGGCTCTCAGCATTGCAGGGCGACTGATTGCAGGCTTACCATGCTGCAGCCATTGTGGCAGCTGAGTTCTGCCTACTAGACCTTAAGCCCCAGTTCATGAAGCCTCAAGATAACAGACCCCCCTGGCAATGGACGGGTGACGCTTGCTCATGTCTTGGGCCCAAGCAAACCCTTGCTCCACCTGACACCCGGCAATGATACTGTAGGACATGGGTATACCAGCTTGTTCCCGATGTCGACTCACAGGCAGCCTTTACGATGCATCCGTTGTCGGAGTTGGAGCTCTTCCTCCAGGTTGCCCTACGGGTGTGGCGTTGGAAATTGATTTCGAAGCTTATCTGTGTCTGGGAGACGAAAGCCTTAAAGCGAGTTGCAGCAACAGCTCTGCGGTAAGTTACCTGAGGAGACAACCTTGGATCCTTTTGAATGTTTTTACGCCTGGACAGGGAGTTGGAGTTTGCCTGGCCGACTGCGAGACTTGCGATCTAGAGTCCCTTGCCACAGGAGTCGCAGACGTGCTGATCCGCGAAGCTGTGAAACCAACAGACCCACGACTCGCACGGCATCTTCCTAATGTTTTGGAACATCAAGTCAAAGCTATCTGGCAGCGAGCTGTTTTGGATTGCCCGGCAGAGGTGCAACATCGCTGGGCAGAGCTCCAGCAGTTCCATGGCATACTTGAGAGTGACTTCCACTCGTGCCGGGCTGCCGGCGACAGATACTTTTGGACTGCCTAGAGCTTCATCACAGATGCAGCAACCACGCCAACTGGATATTTGAACTTCGAGTGTGAGCTTATTGAAAGTCCTTTGGGTCACGGTCCACTTACCTATCGGGGCCTTATGTGTAAGGATGTTGAAGGGCGCTTTGATGACGTTTTTGCCACGGGATACTGCTTGCCAACTTCTTGCAACGGCCCTCTTCTGGAGCTCTTCTTCGGGCCGGTGCGCCAGCTGTCAGTTCTTGAGTTTACTCCTGACTTGCAGCCATGGTGGGCCAGGCCGTATGAAAGCCAGTTTGCTGACCTCACGCAACCTCGATTTGTTGCAGGAACATGCCTTGCGGCAGGGATGGCCTTCAGAATGCTTCGTTGGCTTCTGCAAGGGATTTCGGCCCGGCTCAGCCAAGCACGAGTATGTCGAGACTGATCCCAACCGAGTCATTCCACGTAACAGGCTGCTGGTTCCCGACTTGTTGCGCATCGTTGCCGTTGTGGCAACTCTCCAGTGCCATACGGACTTCTCAAACAAGTGACTCAAGACCTTAATGTCTTGGCTTCAGTTTGGAATTTTCTTCTCAATAAGTGAGTTCCTTGCAGCAAGACGCCGAAAGTCCGGGTCGGCCCTGGTCCACTGCTCAAGGCTGTGGCGCAAAGCGAGTCGGGAGTTACCACATTTGGCTTTGACGGTTTGGGCTTGGAGTGGTGCCTTCCTAAAAGGTGAATGGACTGGTCATCTTTTCCAGCGAGTGCCGGGTTTCACTTCCGCGTTCTACCTTGGTGCACAGAACTGCATGAGAAGCCTCCATCAGAGAGGCGTTTTAGCAGAGCTGTTTTACCTCCCTATTTATTTCGTTGGCGCGGAAGCAGCTCATCGGAAGCCCTGTGGCTCTTGGCTGGTAAGGATGGACTTTCAACTGGAAGTTGCCTTGACTTCGCTGCAGCTGGTCGAAAGCCTGCTCGGGTTTGCTCCCCGTCTTTTTGCGGAAGTCTTTATGGCATTTGCCACAATGGCCCACATGACATATATGACGGCGATCGAAACTGAAGCGTTGGGGCTTGTTCGTGGTAGTTTTACTTTCGCCTGGAAGATGAGGAGATCGTTGAGCCTCCACGCGAAAATGTTCAGACTTTCGTCCCCGAGACATGTTTTGGGCTTGGCCTCTGCGTTTGTGGGGATAGCTATCGCAGCCTGCACAACATTCGTGTCACTACCCCAGCCGCAAGATCAGCTCAAAACCCAGCTCTTGATCGAAGAGGCGAAGCTCGGGCTCTTGGGCACACTGGCCTTGCCTCATGCCGCACTGCTTGTTCTCCATTCCAGTGAGTTCATCGAGGCGAGGTGTAGCTTCCTCAGGCCCGTGCTTGGCCCACTCTGTGCATTCTTGGGCCCTCTCTGTTTTGGCGTGCTTCTGAACCATGGCTTTCTGGCTTTTGCAACCTGGGAGTTTATTGGCAAGTTGCCAGAGAAGATTTTAGAATTGCCTGCTGTATTGCAGGCACCCGGGCGGTCCAGGATCGCTTTGTTTGTCATTTATGTCGTGGCATGCTATGTGGTTGCTTGGGTGACTGAGCGACTCCTGGCGTCACCCATCACAGACTGCTTAAACTTACCGTGGGAATTGCTTGTGAGACTTCTGAGAGGTAGCGCAGCCATGGCATTCCAGATCACAAAGAGTAGAGTCGAGATTCTGGAGATCAACAGCGTGGGACCGGGGTATTATTCTGCAAAGCTCTTACCTATGCGTGTTTGGCAAGGGAGGTGTGGTTCAAGTGCCGGTTCGTTTGGTTTGGTAAGCATCGGGCCCTCGTAGATTCGTAGATGCGGTTTCTATTTTGCACAGGGAATGCGATAGTTTATTACATGCACTTGCATCAATTGGTCATACCATCTGCTGTGTCTGGCTCCATAGCTTGATCTTGGCATCCCCCCCGCACAATCTCAGCCCGGGTCGGCAAACAGCTGTGACACGATGGCTGGAACGGAGCTTGCAGAATTGGCGGCTGCAGTGAAGAGCACCACTGCAGAGGAACTGCAAAAGGCTTTGCAGGACATGCCGCAGATGGATGGCTTTGGGTTTCGGAAATTTAGGGTTTCGGGTTAGGTGTTGTAACTTCGTCGTAGCCAGCAGGATGCATGGTCGTCCGCTGTCGTATGCGAAGCTCATTCAGTAATGATCTTGTCTCTGGCATGCATTGCAGTCGCAGTTTCAGTGCAGCTAAAAGAAAGGAGATTTCGCTGCACTCTAACTGTGTGCAGGATTGCTCGCCCGAAGAGCGAGAACGAATTCTCGCAGCAATCGCAGCTGCTGAGGCAAGACTTCGAGTCAACATGATGAACATGTGTGGTGCATATTCTGCATGCAACCTCACCTTCTTCAACAATGTTATTACTTGATGAATCCATTGTGTGGATGGTGCACTCACTGCAACACTCTTGACCGACATTCTGCATGTAATGACGTCTGACTTTGGACTGCAGCACAAAGCGAGTGTCGTCCCATTTCGTGTAGACCGATAACAGCGTACTCAGGATCAAACTGCTTCGTTCTTGGTTTGAGCCCCGACGCAAGACACCTGCTTTTTTTGGCCATCGCGGACATACCTACCGACTCATGTATCATCAGGGTCCGCTGTCAATCGCTTCGTCGGTGGAGCAGACGAGCTGAAACAGTGCCAGGCTACAAAACATCGAACTGGTGGCGGATACAAGCTGCATGGCTGCAATGAAGCATAGGTTGTCGAAACGTGTTTAGGCACCAGGAATCCGCGTTTGAGCACTAGGGACCAAAGAATCCATGTCAGCACCTTTTCCACTAAAATTCGAAGGTTCTTTTGATGTCGGGTCGAGGTTATCTACAGACCGGACAACTTCCACAGTTCCACAGCAGTAGGAAGTCTCAGTCCCTAGGTGAAAGTCAAAGGTTGTGGCAAATCCTAGCCTCAGCAGCAAAATGATTGGAAAAGCTTTCTAATCGGGGTGAACATGAAGCAGCTGTAGACCCTTAAGAGCCTACGAGGACGACAATGCTTTGACTTATCGGATAAAATCTGAACCCTGACCTGTACAGCCTTCTAGCGGGTTTTCAGATAACAGTCGAGCATAGTCGTGATATTACTCGCGGATCTGAGGTCAAGTTAAAACCAGTCTCACGTTGCATCGTGTCTACATGCGCTGAATGAAGGGCGCCATTCTGCTTCTTTGCAAACCGAGGTCTGAAGAAAGCCAGTGAAGCGAGCACCTGCAGGCACCCGCCCGGCAAGGACAAAACTTGGTCGTATGTGGTGTTGAGCTGGCCTTTCTGTAAACTTTGGGTTGGAGACTTCGGCCGGAAAGCGTGCAGCAGAAGCTCAGAAGTTGTGGCAGTATCTGACAGTGACATCGTGGAATGCAGGTCGATTCCACAGGTCCGGGGCGAAATCCACATGCTTTCTGAATGGAGGCGTTCAGTGAGGGCTGGATGCAACAACAGCAGGCCCCCTTGTAGTGTCAGAAGCATGACGTGCCGGAAGTCTGCCGCAGATGTTTTGTATTGCATCCAACCTGCGGGAGCCAACACCTTTTTGGAATACCATGAGGCATTGCCTCTCAGTGTTCATCTGTGAGGATCTGCGATGAGTCGGCGATCCTGCCTAAGGCCATGAGCCGTAAACCTTAAGCACTGGTTTCCCTAGACCCCAAACCCCTGCAAGACGTGCTGCACGGGAGCTCTTGAGCTCGTCGACTTGTCGCAGTCAGCACAGGCTTTAAGCCTCGAGGTCGGCCTTTATCCAGAGAGGGTGTCGTGATTCGTAGCGTCTAGAGACGTCGTGGCAAAACTCAGCGTTACGTGTTTTGGTCGCCGGGAGTGTAGTCCAAGTTCTGACGAGTGTAGCTTGAGAGTTTACATGTTGCTCATATGATCTCACAGTGTTAAGATTTTGCAAAGCTCTTTTTGCACACAGCCAAACGGAGGCAGACCTTGTTGTCTAGAGTGCACTTCTCTGTCAGAAGAAACAGTGAGATGTTCGCACCTACAGCAGGGGCTAAAAAAACACCAAGGCATCAGCCTTCGATTCTGTCCAACTAGTTCTTCGGCTTCGTTGGTAAATTTAGCATGGGACCGAACGATGAGCTGTAAGAGCTGAATTGTTCCTGAACAACGAATGACTGACCACTTCAAAGGCTGAGCGATCGCGGTCTGAAGGCGATGTGTATGGACTCGTGTCCGCTATCTGAGCTATCTAGATGCTGCAGATTGAAGCCAAGGTTCTGTCAATGGTGAAAGGCGTATTCATCTAGCGATCTCCTGCCCCCGAATCCGGATTACGAGACGACGATGGTGTGCCCAATTGGCGGGAATTTGAGGGAATGAGTGGAGGAAGGTTTCCGGTTTTGAGGTCGGCTTTTCCGCAGTTCCTCACTGATGTGGAGTGATGTTTATGCAGTCAGACTGAAGCGGGAACGTTGGTTGAACTTGGGACCGATTTGCGAAAGCTTGCAGTGACATGGGGGTCACATGGACAAGCATGGTAACTGCAACAGACAAGATGCAACACGGCTTGAACATGACTGAATCATGTCGAGTAACATAGCTCTTACCAAGCTTTCGAAGATACACGATGCAGTGACGAGGGATTTACGATGTGCTGATGCTACAAGCCATGGCTTCAAAGGCTACAGCGCAGCAAGCGAGGCCTGGTGCTTTCGTCGCACGCCCGCTGACCGGTTGGGATGGGAGGATTCGTGCCATGAATGGCTTGCCGACCCCGTTCTTTCGAGCGTGGTTGTGCAAAACTATGTAGCCAAAAGCATGCCTCCACAAAGCTCAAACTGAAGCCTTTCCTTAGACTTGTTTTTCAGAAGGCCCTTGGCTTTTTTCATGTGTCTCAACTCACAGAGGGCTTCTTCTTGGTCTTCCTTTATCAGGCTTCAACCAGGCGCGCAGCATTGATGGTGGTGGTGGACATTGAGCCTGGGCAAGCGTCCAGATCGTTCTTCTTCTTCTTCTGCTTCTTTTTCCTCTTTCTGCAAGACTTTTTATCTGAATCAGCCTTTTCGGGAACTGTCGAATGGAGCCTGAGTCAGGACTATCGCGAGTACTTCCTCCCCGATACTATCCAGGAGCTGCAGCGCGCTTTCGTGCCTCAGCGAACGAACAGACCGTGGATGCCCCATTGCCACTTTTCGGCTCGCGTGTCGAGCGTAGACGCGCCACTGGCCAATTCAATCCTGACATCACGATGTGTCGCGCACACCTACCAAGAAGCTGTCTAATGTGCTTGAACATCTTGGCATCTGCCCCAGTCGTTGATCCTTCCAAGGACAAGTTTGACACATCTGGAGATGGTGCCATCTCAGTCAAGGAGTTGTACCAAATGTGTTTTGCCAGCATTGCAGTTGGCATGCTAGCACTGACTACAGCCCGTTGATGCGGCAGCTGTGCTGTCATTTGCAGTGATGCGCTCGGCGAGATGGGGCCAAGGTTTCGAAGTCTCGGCAAGAAAGTGAGCCGCCAGCAGCTGAAGCACGTGCTTGCTGAGATTGATACCGACTCTGAGCCTGAATGAGCTGTGACATTGGCGAAACCTCTTGGAGCATTACAAGTACCTCTTCGTTGCCCCGGTTTTTGAATGGAAGAGTCTCAGGGCGGACCGGCTTCCGCGGTTTTCTGTGGGGCACTCTTCGGCAAATTCCCCAACTTTCAATCATGTCAGGATGGGAACGGCGAGATTGAGTTCGAGGAGTTGTGCATGCTCGAGATCAAGATGAGCGGGGCCCGACCACGAGCAGATCTCATTGATGCTGGGCTTGCGGTTCGGAGCTGTGCGGCGATCATCGCACGTGCCTACTACCGCTTAGTCACCGCTTAGGTTCATGTATTGAACGACCTCAGGATTATCGGGAGTTCCTGACGGAGCGCCAGGTGGCCAAACTGGAGACGGCTTTCCTGCGTAACGACAGAAAAAACACAGGTGGGATCATTGCCGGATGGTCAGGTAGTTGCGACGCATTTTGTGCGTGCTGCAAACGAAGAGGTCTTATTGGCCTCGATGCCTTCTGTAGCATCGTGGAAAGTCTCGTGCCTTGGCCGCATGGAGCCATGCCATGGCTTTGGGCTCTCCTTCGTTTGTACTGGCATGCAGACTGCGGTTCGGAGATGCCTCTGTGATTCGCTTTGCAGGCACCCTGGACGGATCGAACACCTGTTGAGCAGCGTGCTACGCGCGAGGCGCCCACCCAGCAAAGCCTTGAACAAACATTGCATCGCCACTCCAAGCATGTTCGCCATTGTGTAGAGCCGCCGCAAACCTGGATGTGGCAGCATGACACAGGGAGTGTAGAAGCCGTTTGAGTTCGAATCGAGCTGCCAGGACTACGAGGATGTACTGGCCGAGGCACTGCACATGAGAGAGTGGCTGTTACTGAACATGCAAGCGACTTAATCTGCTGTCTCGGCAAGAGGTTCTAGGCGCAGCATGATCGCTGGATTGTGCACGCAATGCGGTCAGGTGGATCCCCAATGCCGCGGCAGCATTGACTTCCACCAGCTTTGCTCGGGCTTTGCAGTCCTCACAAAAGCACGTGACCAAGATGCATCCGAGCCAAGTTCGGAAAGAGGCTCAGGGGAGGTGAGAGCATCAACATTGCAAGCCCGGACCCTTCGTCGGATGCCGTGACGAGCCCTGCGTGTGGTCCAGACTTCGCATGGCATGCAGTCGCTTCTCCAAGGTAAGATGGTAAACTACAGAGAGCACCTTGCCAAGAGATTACGACTAGAGGAGCCTTAGCTCTTCTGAGCCTTGATCTGCCACGGGAGCATCAGGTGGAATGATTGAATCATGGCAGTGATCATCCATGTAGCTGGTAGTCTGTTTTTTTCTCGAGACCATGCCATCCATCCCAAACTTCGCAGACTCGGACCAGGTATCTCCAGCAGGACGAGGTAAAGGAGCGACAGCCGCGTCCCATGTTAAAGCCTCGGCAACGACGTGTCCAAGTTGCAGTCGCAAGGAGTATCGTCGCATCTTCAATGCCACAACGCAGAAGAAGGGCCAAAGTGGCTTGATTTCGCACAGCAACCCATTCGCTGGAGACGGTAGCGCAAGACTAAATGGAAGTGAACTTCGAAACCGCAGGTTTTGGGAGATGTTGGAACTAGCGAGCGTGTTCGGCGAAGTTGTTTGCAACCTGGCGTTTCAGGTGGGCTGTCGAAGTCAGACCTGGACCGGATCTTGCGGAGAATGGGTGCCACATTACCGAAGGCAGCATATGAAGTGGTTGAACAACTACATGCGAACGATCGCGAGCCTTTCTGGAATGCGGCGTACATTTCGCGGTTCCTGCAACTGTCTTTCTGCCGTCATGATGCCACTGCTGACACTTTCGTTTCGTGGAGGCGCAGCTGCGTGAGTTCTTTCAGTATTTCGACACCGACGGCTCGGGGTTGATGGACTTTGAGGAATTCTGTGTGATGCTCCTGAGGCGCGCACGTCGACTCGCGCATGAATCTGCTAGTGTTGGGTTTACTGCCGCGCTTTTTGTAGGTGCTTGAATGTGATTGACCGCACGTTGTTGCTCACGACAGACTCGGTTCACTCACCCTTTGGTTCTTGTGACATGCATGCGAGGGTCCGCAACCTTAACAAGAATCGGATCGTGAGCCCGGAGACTTGCAGCTGTTCTCAGTTGTGGCCGCTTGGCAAGCAAGTGGCTGCTAGAATCCTTGACCATTGTGCGCCAAACATGCAGTATCGAAGCACCTTTCGTAAGTTCCGGGCATCCGAAGGAAAGAGGAGGAGTTCAGCATCGAGGATGGCCTTTCCATCTGCCGAGTTCATGCCGCACGTGTTCACACGTGTTCATGGCAAGTCATGGCATGGATTGTGACACACCACCCTCGCACCTGATCGTCTGTGACTTCGTGCAGTCGTGCCCCGGCCCCTAAACGCCCGAAGCCGGTATGTAAGCCTGTCAGGAATTTCAAGTCCCACGATTTAGGGGCTCATGCTTCAGAGATCCTGAGTGTCACGCAAAAAACCAAAATGTTTTTGGGTTGGATTTCAAGTTTAGGCGTTTGGCCTGCTGACAGGAACTGCAGCAGTCTGGCTTCACGCTGGAGGCAGGAGTTTGTAGAGCCTGTGAACTCCTTCACCCTTTCCTTACGGCCTAGGGCCTGTGAGATGCATACGAACCAGAAATTTTAGAGCTAACACCGTCGCATCGTACTCTCGGTGTAAGCAGACGATGGCTTCTACCAAGCTGACCTGAGCGTCTGTCCGGTATGGCTGGTCGTGTCGCAGGATTTCAAGCATGCCAGCATACCGGTCGCTGCTCTCCACAAAGATGGAGGCAGGGTTGGAAGAACTCGAGAAGTATGTTTCGCAGAAAAAGCTGCGCAACTGATGTGCTGCACTCACATGCTTCTGACCCACTTGCGCGCTCGATGGACGAGCCGTCCGTCAGGATACTCTGCACTGGAGTTGCGACGTGCCGGATTCTCTGCCAAGGAGCTGAAGCAAGGCATGCTTCATGGTTGTACCTTGTGCGTTTGTGTCGCAAAGGGGGGACAGATGTCCTGAACACGTGAGCCTGCAGCATACTTCGGCAAAACTCGACCCAATGAACAAAAAAAAGCCTCTATGTCACAACTCTATGTGTCTCCTTGCCGAAATGTTATGATAGGGTTACGCTGCCGTTCAATCATGTGGTCTCGTCTGGCTCGCCATGGTTGCTGTCGGCCTTCACTATCTAGTCATTGATCCAGCGGCCAGCCTTCTTGAATCCCAGCCGATCCTGTCGGTGGGCTGGGCTTTGTCTGGACTTCGTCAGACGGTACAGCCATGTACAGCCTAAAAAGAGCTCTTGACACGATTGTACATCAATTTCTTCTCAGAAAGCATTGCTTGAGAAGTTGCAGGTGGGGTGGCGCTGATGGAGCTACGACGAGGCCTGGCGCCATGCGGTCAGGGAATGGTAGCCTTCACAAGAGGCGGCGGACACGCAATGAACTAGATCATTGCCTTGCTGCCGAAATTGCCGAAAGTGTCTCATGCCCGGGGTCTCTGGACTTGTCAAGGCGGTTACAGCCTCATGGACCTTCGCCTGGCAGGGTTTTCAGCTCAAGCCCTCGAAGGTGAGAATCCCGGGCGCAGGTGAGTCATCTTGATCGTGGGCCTTCAATTGTGTAGGCAGCCGGTGAAGCTTCTTAATAATTCTAGATGAGAAAGCAAACACCACTCAGTATTACTAGTACTAGTGCAAGCACTAGCACTTGTACCACCACCACCACCACCACCGCCACCATCAGCACTACCGATACCAGTGCCCCCCACTGCCACTGCCACCACTGCTACCACTACTGCCACTACTACCACTACTACCACTACTACCACTACTACCACTACTACCACGACTACCACGACTACCACGACTACCACGACTACCACGACTACCACGACTACCACTACTACCACTACTACCACTACTACCACTACTACCCCACCACTACCACTACCACTACCACTGCCACTACCACTACCACTACCACTACCACCACCACCACTACCACCACCACCACTAC